TGGAAGAATGAGCGGCTGTCCCTGGCAGGGTTTTCCGTGGGATTCCAAGGAGAACACAAGGTCAGGCTCCCAGTGCCACAACAATGGTCAGGCAACGGCAGATGTAAACTGGACAAGGGTCAGATAAGTGCCAGCGTGGATCTGCCAGAATAAATGAGGTTCCCATGGGAAGGACCCCCACTAGGCTATCAGGTGAAAGAAGTGTCCTGTGAAAGCACACTAAACACCCACGCCCAGCCCCACTCATTTCATTTCAGGGAGCAGTTGCTGGCTGCTCTCATACTGGAAGCGCAGCTTCACTGGGGGTCTTTTACCACATGAACTCATTAACCCAGCCCTGGGATGACTGTGGAAAAGGCTGACATCTTTGAGGCAGTTCATCTTGTTCTTTTTATCGAAAACCTCCTCCTGGCTGGGACTTATGTGGGACATCCTCTACACTCTGACCGTTTCAAGAATCTCATCAGTAATACCAAAAGACCTTTTAGTAATTTTCAATGTTGTTCCCTCCAAGTACCTACAAGTTAGATGTTCTTTTTTGGGGGGAGAGGTTTTTGCTATAGGGCATGTGTCCTCGCCAGAAAGACAGAGACAGAGAGACAGAAAGTGAGAAATCACTCCCCAGGGGGGATGGCCACGCCGCAATCCCTTCTCCTCCATTCTCCTCTCTTGGGCACATACGCACACGCGCCTGGTGTGAGTTTTAAGTCACCGGGTCCAGGACTCAAACCGCAGTCAACTACATGGGAGTCCAGTGACATAGCTATTACACCAACTGCTGGTCCACCTAAAAGTTGGATATTCTAATAGATGCTGCCATGAGTCTGCATCATTCCTCTAAGGCCTTCCCTCTTTTCTTTAATAAATAAGTGCATGGTTAAAATTTCTGCCTATCAGGGAGATACTCTGCCCACCCCCACACTCTAGCACCAACCCCCAATTTCAGAGCTCCCTATGATTGGGGGTATAGTGTAGTGGCTATTAACTTCCAGCTGTTCTTACACTTTGTAAATCCATCTATAAAGCAGACTCTCGCAACTGGTCTCAAGGAACTCCCACAAAGCCATCTGTTTCATCTCCGGCATCCTGACATACAGCTCACCAGGTCTGGTTAGCGTAACAGCATCAGTGTAAAGTGGGCCAGCATGATGTCTCATGGCATACTGAGGTAATCATGATTTCTCTAGAATTTTTAAAAACAGAAACAAAAGAGCTGGCATTGTTCTGGGTCAAGATGGCACCCTGTGCTTAAACTATTTGTTGTACTTTGTCAATCTGTACAATTTCATCAAATTTGGGCAGTTTTCAGCCTTTATTTTTTAAATATTTTTCTCTCTTTTTGGTACTTCTATCACATATATGTTGGCATGTTTGACACTGTCCCAAGTCTTTGAGCCTAGATCATTTTTCTATTCTTTGGATTGTATACTTTCTGTTAATCTCTTTCATGTTCAGTGATTCTTCTGTCATTTCAATTCTGTATTGAGCCTACCTACTAAATTTTTCATTCAGTTATACTTTTCAACTCTATTTTCATTTTCTTAATTGTTTTTGTTTATCCATTGAGAGAGAAAGACAAACACCATCAACAGGGGCTTACACCACAACCTCCCCCTTCCTGCCAGCCTTCCAGCCTTCCAGCCTGCCACAGTAACAGGAATGAGGTACCAAATCCTGATCTTCTATATGGCTTCCAGCATTGCAGAACATTGTGTTACCACTGCACCACCAGGGTTGGGCATCATTTTGTTCTTTTATAAGTTTTCTTTTTGACATTTTCTATTATTATTATTATTATTATTATTATTATTATTATTATTATTTTAATTGCTAGAGGATGTATGTATTTGCCAGAGAGAGAGAAAACACTCCCCAACAGGGCCTGGTCTTTCTGCAATCCCTTCTCTTCATCTATTTCTCCATCCTGTCAGGATTTTAGACACATATGTGCATGCACTTTACATATTCTTCAAATCTTTGGGGCTGGGACTCAAACAGATTGGCCACGTGAAATCCAGCCCCTAAGCCACTAGACCACAGGGCTGGCCCTCTATTTGTTATTTTATTGTGTATATTTTTAAATTCTTTAAACATGATTTCCTTTAATTCTTTGAACATATTTGTAAAAGCTACTTTCAAATCTTTGCTGGCTAAATCTGAAGTCTTTGAGAAGTCAGTTTCTATTGAATATTTATCCCCAGCACCTCCACTCCACTTGTTCCCCACTACCCCAGGTTACATGAAGGGCCCTAGGTGAGTGCTACACATGAAGTGGTTTTGTGTCACACTTGAAGAACACTGAACTTGGGAATCTATCACTTTTATAGGAAGCAGTAAGCGGGCCTATACTCAAGATTGCTTGCTACAAACAGTATTCAGAGAAGTAGCCCAGAGGAAGAGTAGACAAGGTCTTGCATTCTTAAGACACCCAGAAAGACTCGGGGCCTTTGGAAGATGGCACATTTGTGTCTTCTCTTTTTTTTTCTTGAGTAGTTTCATCAAAACTTCATTACTTTTATTAGTCTTTTCAAGGAGCCATTTTTTGCTCTTGTTGACCTCTCTTTTATATTTTTAAAAAAGTTTGGCCTTATTTTTTTTAAAAAACTTTATTTTTGGGGGGGACAGAGGGCATGTACATTCTCCAGAGACAGACAGAAAGGGAGAGGAGAAAGCACCCCTCCACACAAGGGGAGTGGTGATGCTGCAACTCATTCTTCTCCATCTCTTCCTCCTCTGGGGATCTCGAGCATGCACACACCCACCCAGCGTGTTTCTCAAGCTGCTGTGTCCTGGAGCGAAACTGCGCAGTCAGCCACGTGGGATCCGGCTGCCTTACCTATCCAGCCATCCACCCAGCCTTTTCCTATTTTCTTGATGTGGTTGTTTAAATAGTTTATTAGGCTTCCCCGCCCTCCCCCTCATGTACATTTAAGACTAGAAATTTCCCTTTAGTTATAATTTTTAGCTGTGTTCCACAAGTGTGGGAGGCTGCACACCTGTGAGTCTGCCGAGGTTCCTCAGAGAGCAAATAATTGCCATGATTGGTTCCCTTCAAAAAACCTGACCTTCAAAACTTTGCTCTGATTGGCCACTAGAATCCCTCAAATTTGCATATCCGGCACCTCATGATTGGTCCAAAAGCAACCAATCATAACCCACCATTTACAACCAATCATGGCCCACCGTTTACAACCCACCAGCGTGTATATAACCACGATGCCTGGCCCATAGTAGCCAGACGACCAGGAAGACAACACAGACGACCAGGAGAGCCTGAAGAGCTGAAACACCGCACAGTCTCCAGACGACCCCAAAGAGTTGTAACACTACAACACTACATCGTCTCCAGACGAGCCTGAAGAGTTGTAACACTACATCATCTCCAGACCAGCCTGAAGAGCACTGGGTCGTCTCCGTACTGCTCACAATAGACAACGCAACCCTGAAGAGTTGTAACACTACATCATCTCTGGATGGCCCTGGAGAGCTGTGACACTGCGTCGTCTCCGTGCTGCTCACAATAGACAACGCGACCCTTAAGAGCCATAACACTGTGTTGTCTCCGTGCTGTACCTTGCTGCCCACAGTAAACAGACGACACTGAAGACACGGTGTTGTCTTCGTGCTGTTACACTACGCTGCTTGTCCCGGCTCTCACTCCTTCACTCAGGAAACCTGTTCGGCCGTCCCCCTGGGTCGGGACACACAAGGTTTTATATAAAGTATTTTTAGTAATATTCAGAACAAAATATCTTCTGATTTCTATGGTGGTTTATTTTCTGACCATGGGTTATTTAGAAAGGTATGTTTTTAATTTTCAAGTATATAGAGGCTTTCCATATTACTTTTTTGCTTTTAAGATCAATACCTAGTTGACCAAAGAGCATTATTCTGTATTATTTTGGTCTTATAAAATTCGTTGACTTGCTCTATAGCCAAAAATATGTTCTAATTTTGTTAGTATTTCATGTGTACTTGAAAAGAATATATCTTCTGAAATTGTATTATGTGCCATAATCTATGGCAATTAGGTCAAGCTCATTAATCATGTTCAAATCTTTATATCCCTACTGATTTGAGTAGACATATGTGAAATATCCAGGGAAATTACTGAGTAAGCTGAAGAAGACAGAGGATCAAGACTTTGCAAATACCAGCATTTAATGGGGTAGGTATCAAGGACGTGAAGCCACAGGAAGAACATTTTTCATGTGGAGAAGCCATCTCTCCCTTGATTCTGAGTAGCAGTCCTCCTCAGCTGCTCTGCATTCATTCATTCTTTCATCCCTTACCAATGCATGGATCTGAAATTGTTTTGCTTATTTACATGTCTGTGAGTCTCCCAGATTAGACTGTAAAATTTCAATGAGGACTGGCACTAGTCTTTTCTGTTCAAACTAAATCCCTTATGCCTAGCACATAGAAAGACTAAATATTTGTGGCATAAGTGATTGGTGCATTGTTTTGAAAATTTGGAGAGAGAAAAGTTAAAAAATTGAACTTGTAATCAATTAAGTATTTGGGTATAATGCATATGAATATAAAGAAGAGTATAAAATTTGAAACAACTTAAAAAAACAGAATGGAACAGCTAAAGTAAATTTATCCTTAAGGTTGGTGACTCAGGTTCATGTTTGCATGCATGGTGAGTGGTGACTGAGGGCATGTTATTATATCTGTCAGTGGAGTTTCAGTGAAAAGTTTTAAAAGCACTGATTTGAAAGTTGCCAGAGGAAGAGGAACTGGGAGAGGAAACTGAAAGAGAAAATTTCCAATAAGCAAGATGAGCATAGAAGCAGAATGAGGTCATAGCATCAAGAAAATAAGATTATATGGGGGCTGGCAGGTGGCGTGGTAGATAAGGCACTGGGCTCCCACCAACTGTGGCTCAAGTCATAGACCCAGCACCTTGAAAATCACGCCAGAATCTGGTCTGTGTGTGCCCAAATCCGAGAGGAGAATGAAAAAGGCATTGTGGTATGGCCACTCCCCCTGGGGGGTGATTTCTCACTTTTACTCTTGGTCTCTCTCTGGTGAGCACACACCTTAACCGCAAAAACATGAACGAAAGAAAGAAAAAAGAGAAGAGAAGGGAAGGGAAGGGAAAGGAAGGGAAAAGGAGTATTTGTAGACAATGGTCAACTCTGTCAACTACCAAAGGAAGACTCCCAGAAGTAAGGGTAAAAAACCATCAACTGGATTTGGTAACCAGGAGGCCACTGTTGACCTGAGGCATTTGGATCGCATCCTTGGAGGTAGAGTGGGGATAAATGACTTGGTAAAGAATGGATCATTCTGACACGGTGCTCAGTGTGGTATTTCTGATCACACGCATTTTCGAATAACTAGTATCCCCCAGTGCCTGCCCCCCGCGGTGTGGGGCTGTTGTGGGCGGAGGAGGGTAAAAGTCTTGCTCCAACGCAGTGCAGGCCTTCGGCGCCAATTTACCAACCAGTCTTCTAGGATTTGATAACGGAGCTTCTTTCCTTCGGCGGAGAATAGGGATCGCCTGAGAATTAATTTAAAAAAAGGGTAAGTTTTCTGAGCGTGGGCTTTCTGGCGAGACCACGATTGGAAGCCCACGGAAGCAATAGTGACGTCAAGCCCTGGCTTTTCCGCTGTCCCTTGGCGTACCGGGTGGCCTTCCCGTCTGGGTGGCAGGAGAGGAGCCTGAGAGAAGGGTTCATTCCTGGTGGTCTTCGGGGCGGGCCGCGCCCCTGCCCAGGCAGTGGGCTGCAGCCGGGGGCGGAGAGCCCAGAAGGGACGGTCCGACTCGCTCCCCGGGGGCCGGACCGGTTGGGTCTATTTCCAGCACACAGTGGGGTCCTGTGGGAACATCTGGGGAAAAGGAGAGGAGGAATAAGAGGGAATGAGAACGCAGAGAGCGAGCGGAGAAAAACGAAAAGAAAAAGAGAAAGCAGGCGAGTCCGCCTTCGCCGGGGGGCCAGTTCCCCATTGCCGCTTCCCCTCCTCCGCCG